GGCAGGGAGGAGAGAGAAAGGCGCGAGAACGAGATCAGCGCGTGAGGGAGTGTGCGATCTCCGTTCACCGCGCGACTGGTGGTGTTGGAGTCGCCGGAGCAAGGCAACCTGGGTGGGTGGGTCGACGTCCGGAAAGTCGACGGCGGCGGCAGTGGACGGCGGCAGCAGTGAAGAAAAATGCCGGAAGAATAGAGAAAAACGGCTGGAAAGAAACACGGCGAGGTGGGTAGCCGGAAAATGGAATGAGACACGGTTTTTGGGCACCGATGTGATGAATGCCAAAAATCGGCATCGCGCGCTTGGAAATAAGTATCCACTCCACTAAAGTACAGTTCTTCTTTACTCTTATTTGACCACTGTGACTCTCAGGAAGACTATTCACCAAGCTACGTCAAGGGTTAGAAGGCGTTCCCTTAGCAACCTAATACCTCGCGGAATTTATCAGCATGGTTAGCATTTCCTTTCCAATACATATATTTTTCACCTTTTGTCTTTTTTTTATCTCTTTTAGACCTTTATCTTCTGTTTCATTTTGTTTAAACCCGACGCCCCTTTCTGCTTTGCATTGCAGCTCACCCCGATTCACAGTCTAGTAGAGCTGACTTTTCTTGTCACTTAAGCTCCAAGCTTCTACATGTAGCATGGCATCCAACGTCCAATCTAGTTGCATGTGCTGCTGAAAGTAGCCTAGTATTGTATTATGCATAGTTTTGTACCTTGTACAGTCTACTATACATGTTCCGCATAATATAGAAATCTTTAGAGCCCCAGTTAACAAACACTTTCAAATAAATTTAATTTAATTTATTTGCTAACTGTTAGATTTAATAATTAATAACCGTTAGATTGATTTTGTCCTTTATAGGAGATTTTTCTTTCTTATGTGTTGTTCGTCTACCAACTCCGTGCTGTTCTGGGTTTTGAAGTAGAACATAGGGGAAAAGGTGGCGTCATGACTCATCAGTGGATGGTGGACAATAGCACTCCGGCAGCGTTGCACCGGCGATCTATGGTTTGGGTCTTTGGGAGAAGAAGAGACAGTAGGATACAATAGAGAGGGCACACGTTAGTAATATGATTCTTCAACTGATCGATCTAAAGGACAAAAACAAAACGTATGGAAGATCACTTATTCTACTGGATTTCAAAAATTAAATTATTTTAATAATTAATTATTATAATTAAAGTTTAATTGTATTTTTATTCTCTTACGGTGTTAAGTTTGTAATTTGTTATTTTTTATTTTGTAATTTTATTCTTTTAATTTTTATAAAATTTGTAATTTTGATTTTTTATCAAAATTAAAATAATAACATAAGTTGTAATTTAGCATTGAGTAAATAATACGATGATTAATTTTTAATAATATTTAATTTAATATGCACTTTTAATTATATTTTTATTTCATCTTATTGTATCATTTCCATAAGATAAAAATGAAAAATAATAATGAATTTTAAATTAAACATCATTAAATATACATTGTTATGTTATTTATTTAATGTCAAATTATGGCTAATATAAAATTTTGATAATAAATAAAATATTTAATGAGAGGATTAAAATTATAAATTTTATAAAAATTAGGAGACTAAAATTACAAAATAATTAATTATAATCAATAATTAACTATAATCAATAATTAAATTTTGTTTAGATAATAAGTTTGTTGAAAAGTGAATTTAAAATGTTTAATTTTTTTAATATAACTAAAAAATTGTTTTTTATGTAATAAATTAGTCTAAAAAAGGGGAAAATGTTGATGAACAATTATAAACTTCAAATTTTTAGCTTCTTAAAAACATTTTATTTTTTTAAAATAAATATATTTACTAATTTAAGTTGTTGTTTCAAACATATAACTTATTTTGTAAACAACTTTTTTTTCCTAGAAAATCATCTAAAAGAAGAAAATGGTTCCCTTTAGCATCCGTCTATTTGTACTAGATAATGTGATGGGAACATCATTTTTTAATGTTGTATTATTTTAGATGATAAAACAAGATACACATTCTAATATATTTTCTATTTTTCCTGTCGGGAAGATGATGTAATTTGTTTTTTAGTTGCAAATTATAAATGATAAAGATGATGTAATTTATTTTTCGACGTGTTTGAAAGTCATGATTTAACATGAAATGGAAGAAAAGAGAGATTAATTTGGAGGTAATTGAACTAAATTTTTGAAAGTGATGATTTATGAGAATTTGACAGTAATGATAGTGAGTCCTAAATAAAAATAAAATAAAATAAAATAAAAAATTCACTAGATTAAGATGATTTATCATTTGTGTGAAATTTGAGAAAATGATAAAAGATATCATTTATTCAAACTATGTAACGATTCCAATAACATATAATCGATTATATATATATATATAAATGTTAATGAATTATGTACCTGTTTAAGGGTATATTTGTAATCTTCACGTAGTCTGAAGGCTGAACGAAAGTTCTGATTGAATATTCCAATGGAAAAGGTATTCGCAAAAGACATTCCGACACTCAAGTCAAGACAAGTACGAATATTGATAGTAATAAATAAACAGTGACTTTACTTTGAGATGAGGACTATTTATACTGACGTAAATGGGCCCTGCGTGTGGTGGGCATCCTTTGTGTTTTGCCAAATTAGGTAATACAATGCTTAATGGCTGATTACCTCCTTAATCTCGTGCCTGTCCTTGTTGATCATAGTTATTGTTCCAAGTATGGTATTGGCCCTCTCGGCCATTGGCCGAGCCGAGAAGTGTGAGTCATCCGATGAACCTAGGCATGTATATCGAACAAGATCGTACTTTTGGGTCTCGGCCACTAACCGGGCCGATGTGTTCCCCTCATTTGGGATTAGTGAGAGCTCTTGGGTCTCAACCATTATCCAGACCGATTCACTCTCATCAATTGGAATCAGTTTGTTTCGGTCGTTTCGACTGCCGGCATGGTCAAGGTCGAGGATCTTGGATGCACGGGTCTTGTAGTTTTGGCCGTATCAGTGATCGATATATCCGAGACAATTGTGACTGATTGCCACACATTGTCTCGACCATTTCAGGTGCCGAAATGGCCGACATGTGGTGAGCCACGTGTCATGCCACGTGATTGTTCTCAATCCTCTTAGTACAAATTATATATTATATAATCATTTAAGGTAGTTGATTTTATATATACCAGTAGAAATATATATATACTTTGTGCGTCCACTGAAAAATAAAATATAAAATAAAATAGATAGATAATTAATATATTATCTTATTTATTTTTTCTGCATTAAAATATATATATATATATATATATATATATTATTTTTCAAGTTATGATGAATTATGATTTGGAATTGTTAAAAATAATAATAAATTATATTGGATGCAATTCTCGTGTGCATGTGTGTGTGTTGTACGTGTGTGTGTAATTTTCAAACAAAAATTAAAAATTATTTGATATTTCATTTCATTATTTCAAATTGACGAATAATCATAATATTCAAATTTTGAAAAAATTTACAGACTTAATCTATGCATTAAGAACTTTGAATTCAACAATTGGATCATTAAAATATGAGTTATTGAATATAATGAGTCTAGGTAGACTCACTCTTTAAATAAACAAATTTGTCTTATATATATTATAGTCTTCACTACCCAACCACGCTCATGCTTAACAATTCACGATCGTGCATGCCCTTGTTCCTCATACCTGCACTGACTACTAGTATTGAATGGTCACCCCCTTCTAGTGGCATCTAACTTACTATCTCCACATGACGAATTTACAACATTGCAAGTTGCTCCAATGAGTTTAGCATTACTTATTAATTATTGGTTGCCTCAACGTCGAAGTAATTAATGCACCCACCTTTAAAGAACCCACACTAAAGTTTCTATCCACCTACAAGGAATGAGAGCAGGAGCCTTCCAAAGATGAAGATAAGGATGTTGACCCCCCCTTCTCCTATTATTGTGATCTCATTTTTCATGGGGAGGGTAGAGCAAAAGATGAGTCTGGTAGGCTTCAACATATTGTTGGGGTTTGAGACTATGAAGAGTGTCGAGACTAAGGAGTATGAAGAGGCTTTATTAGCATTTCCCCTTGAGGTTTTAGATGGTGTTGCATGGCACTAGGGATGGCAACGAGGCGGAGCGGGTACGAGTTTCAATATCCCCATCCTCGTTTTTGTTCTTGTACTCTATATCCATTCTTGATGAGTATGAAATTTACGCTTCGTCCCCATCCCCATTAATTATTAGGTACACCCATACCCATCCAAAAATTAATTAATTTATTTTTTGCAAAAAAAAAATATATAAAAAATGATTTTTAACATAGAGTAAGAATTACAAAATTACATTAATTAAGTTTCATTTAAAAAATTTAAAATTGAGTAAAAATTACATAAATGTCAAGTAAATTTTAAAAAAAATAATAATAAAGTTTCTACAAATTTAAAAGCAAGTACGAGTATGTATATACCCATCCTCATACCCTATTCAATAAATCGAGTATTATCCATACTCGTGTCTAGTCGAATCGGGTATTCCTTGTCAAAGTCGAGGCAAGTTCGAACATTATTCACGAATACAGGTTTACTTGTCATCCCTACATGACACACCATTATTGATGAGGGTGGGTACAATACCAACCTATTAAAGGCCACTGAGCTTTGAGATCCAACCTTAAAAGTTCTCCACCAATGGATAACAAGATCCATCCAAAACTGCTTTGAGGGTGAAGGCATTGTCACTACAATAGACTTTATTTTATTATTGTGTATGCTCATTGGAAGATGATGTAGCGTAGGTATACTATTCCTTAAACATTGTTTCTCAATAGGGACCCAAGACCCAAATAGGGCACATAGTGGTCGAATCTTTGATCTCTGCCATTGCGTAACATTATGAATGTTCTGGATTGTTATCTACCTAGGTATTGGCCATGGAAGCCATTGGAGAGTCAACATTGTTGCAGATGAGAATAATCCATAAAGATGAGATGGGTCACCTCACAATCATTACCGATGATCAAAATGACCACTGAGGAATGAAGGAGAGGATCACGTTGAGTACATACTAGGAGAGGACCAATTTCAGTAGGTCCATCCTCAACCACTAGTGGCACCAAACCATGCATACCACATTGATTACAATGCTATGATGACTCGCTTGAATGCCATGGAGTAAGGCATGACTACTTGTTTTAATGCACTAAATGAATGATTTGATTAGTGTTTTGATGTCTTCACTTAACAATCATCTCAGTAATCTACAACCATATGATGACCATGCTCCAGTATCTTTCCCAGCATTGAGTCTTGAAATGAAATCATTTGGTAAAGATTGTTGGTCTAGTTAAAATATATGTTAGAATTTGGTTCTTTTGGTGACACTCACTACACCTAGTTATTGGGAAATTGTTTGTTTTAAGGAGCATAAAAAATAAAAAATTAGAAAATTTTGGCTAAGCAACTTTTTGAGGCCATAGGTTATTAGAATAATTTTTAGTATTCTAAAAAAGGCCACTAGGAAAATGCGTAGCCACCAAAGGTCCTAAAATAACACTTCTTTAAAACTTTGTGTGGCAAGTGTAAAGCTTTTGAGTGTAAGGCCCACATATCGGCAATAGGTAAGTGCCTACTTAGTAGATAACCTAATAAAAAAACATTAAAAAAATAATAATGAACCATCTCTCTAACTTAATGCTTAATAGATTGACTCAACAAATATTTATACTAGAAACCTCTAAAACAATTATGATGTTTGACAAGCCTTTAAACTATGTTGATTAACTTTGGATTCATATAAATCTAAAACTTAACCGAACAAATTCTTGATTTTTGGAAAAAATATTTACCCTAATTAATGATAATTTGTCTATCTTTTTACTTGAGGGCAAACAAAGCTCAAGTGTGGGGAGGTTGTTAAACTGTCAAAATATTACATAATAACCTAATATTCTTTTTTTTGCCTTAATCTAATGTTAAGTCTTTGCAATATTTCACTCTTTTTTATTAAGTGTGTAGCAAATAAGAAAAATACAAAAAAATGAAATAAGGAAATTAAGGGATAAAATAGACCAAAGTTGAAGGATGAAGACATGCACGGTTGTGTTTGTCTAATGCACAACCGTGCTTCAAGAGAAGGATGCCCAAATGCATGACTATGTTACTAATCACAGTCGTACTTACCAACATGCGTAGTTGTGTTTCCTATAGAGCATCCTTGGGCTACAAAGCACACCT